AAGTGTTTCCTGGCTTTAATCTTTTCACTAACCTACATAACAAAATTTGGGGTTTCTGCAGGAAAGAAATGTAGTGTTCTATCTTAGTTAATCACCAGTAAATTCTTCACATGAACATCAGTACTGATAAAATAGATGGATTTGCTTCTTTTGTTTATGTAGGAAGCTCTAAAACAGCTAGAACTAAGCTGTGGGGGGCCAAGCTGTGGGAGACCTTTCAGTACATTCAAGACTCTATTGATAAAGCTTGGATTGTGGGAGGAGACTTCAGCTGTATTTCATTACCTGCTGAAAGGAGGGGGGGGGGGTAGAACCCCCAATCCTGTTATCATCTCCAAGTTCAATGATAACATCCAAAATACTGGTTCATTTAATATGGGATACAGTGGAACTGCCTTCACATGGAGAAGGAAGAACTTGTGGAAAAGACTGGATAGAGTCTTAGCAAATGACCACTGGATCCAAAATTTTCTGCAGACCACTATAACCCATTTAAGCCTTGTTGGATCTGATCACAGGCCTTTGGTTATCACCATTGGCCCAAAGAGTTTCTGTCAGAAGGGTGCTTTTAGATACCTGAATGTTTGGTCACAACACAAGGACTTTTTGCAAGTTGTTAAGGAGAACTAGAAAAATGAGTCACACCCTGACCCATTCATCTGCTTGTGGCAAAAGCAAAAAAAGGTAGGTATTGCCCTCAGAAAGTGGAGTTGGACTACTTTTGGATATTTGATGAAGGCTGTGGATAAGGCTGAACAGGAGCTGCAGACTTTGGAGGAGCAGCACAGCAAAGGAAATACTGATGATACTGCTCTTTTAGAGGCCAATGAGAAAGTTCTTGCTGCTATAAATTGGCAAGACCAATTCCTTAAGCAAAAAGCTGCCAAAACTAAATTTACTGAAGGGGATAGAAACACAAAATTTTATCATGCTTGCATCAATTACCAGAGGAAATGCAACACAATTCACTGCATTAAAGATCAAAATGATAATTGGATTAGGAAGGAGGAGGAGATTGCTGAAAGTGCTGTGTTATACTGCCAACAACTCATGAAGGATAATGCTACTGACATAAGCCACATTGATAAACAATTGTTTTCAAAAAGCAAACAGTTCACTACTAATTTAAAGCTGACTGATATTCCTGAAGAGGAGGAGATTCAGAGAGCCTTGATGTCCATTGACAGCAGAAAATCAGCTTGTCCTGATGGATTTACTACAGACTTCTACAAAAAAGCATGAGGGAAGATTATGGTGGAGGTGATTCAAGCTATCCAACACTTCTTTAAAGGTCATCCTCTTCTTAATTAGTTCAGTGCTTCTTCAATTGTTTTCATTCCAAAGAATTCTATTAAGAACTGCTGGAGTCAATTCAGAACTATAAGTCTTACCAATGTTATTAGCAAAATTGTCAGCAAAATTCTGATGAGCAGACTTCAACCAGTTCTACCCCAGCTGATCAGCACCAATTAAGCAGCTTTTGTGAAAGGGAGAAGTATAGGGGACCAAATTTTACTAGCTCAAGAACTTTTACAAGATTTGGAGAGACCCTGCAGAGGAGGAAATGTTATTTATCAACTTGACTTAAAGAAGGCTTATGATATGGTGAATTGGGAATTTATCATGGAGGGTCTGGAGAGTAGAGTGTTCTCAGTAGAGTTCTGCCAAACCATTAAAAGATGGCTAGAGGCTAATGGCAACTCAAAAGATGGCTAGAGGCTAATGGCAACTCAGTCCTAAAAAATGGGAAAGCTCATGGTTTTTTTCAAAGAAAATAGAGGCCTTAAACAAGGTGAACCTCTCTCCTTTACTATTTTCATTTTGGTCTTAGATTATCTATCAAAACTCATTGATGGCCAGGAGAAAAGGAATAGGTTAAATGTCTATCATAACAAAGCTAAGATGGATATAAGTCACCTTATTTATGTTGATGATATCCTCATTTTCGCAAGGGCAACCAAGGGTGCAACTAGATACCTTGATGAGTGCTTGAACAAATATCAACAAGTATCTGGGCTGAAAGTTAATAAAGAAAAATGCCAATTTCTAGCAAGCAAGAGAGTTCTTGTTCCAATCAGGCAGTGGATGGCAAAATTCACAGGTTTTTCTACCATGAGCATACCTTTTAATATCTGGGCACCCATTTAGTCAGAGGTAGAATTAAACAAACACAGTTTGATGAGGTTATAGACAAAATCAATTCTACCCTTCAATACCCTTCACGGGTGGACAAACTCTTTCTTATCTAATGGGGGTAGAATCACCCTCCTAAATAACATCCTCACTTCTATCCCCCTCTACACCCTCCAAGTGGATAATATGAAAAGAAGCACCACTTTGATTCTGGAGAGAACTTTTAATAGATTTCTTTGGGATGGGAAAAGGAAATAAATGATTTGGGCTAGTTGGCAAAGAGTGGCTAAACCTTATGAAGCGGGAGGCTTGGGTTTTAAAGGACTACATCATATGCAACAAACCAGCATGTGCAAACTATGGATCAACTTTAGACAAAATGAAAGCCTGTGGGCTAATTTCATGATGGAAAAATACCGTAAAAATGCTCACCCTGGAGATGTTACTAAGAAGGTTGGAGACTCCAAGATTTGGACCCATATGCTTAAGGGAAGAGAGGAGATTGACAAATATCTTATCTGGGAGCTGGGAAAGGGAGAAATCAACTTCTGGAAGGACAGCTGGTGCCCTGTTGATCAATTGGAGCCACTTCAAAATGAAAAAGATGAAGATTTACTAGTTAAAGTCTGTTGGAATGACAATGAGTGGTCTGAGGATGCATTGAGCAAAATCTTGAAAGAGTATGTTGTTAGAAGCATCTCTAAAATCCAGTTTGACAGAAATAAAAAAGACCAAATTCAACTAATTAAAAGAATAAGGTCGAGCATTTCAAAGAACCAGAATAATAGTCTATTCAGATGGGATGATTGCAAGTGGAATATTACCAATTGCCAAAAATTCTTAACTCCTTCTTTGTTGTTCTTTTCTTGGAGAGTCCTAAATGATTTAATTCCAACAGATGACATATTGAAGCTGAAAGGATTGAAAGGCCCCTCAAGATGTCACCTATGCAATAATAATAAAGAATCTAGTGATCATCTCTTTTTCAGTTGCAATTTTGCTAGGGAGGTTTGGAATAAGCTGAACTCTAACAGTAACGTGGGCTGGGGTAATTTAAAGGATAGTTTGAGAGACTGGCAGACAATTAACCTGATGCTTCTTCCCTTCATTGTTGCTTGGTTTATTTGGAATGCTAAGAACAAGGTGAAGCATGAGGACAGTATGTCTCCTTCTGATTCTGTGGCAGCTAAATGACAGGCCTATTTACATAAGTTGATTAATTGGAAGAAGTTCCCTCAGATATTGAAGGGTATGACCAATATTGATCCTAAACACCCTATGGTTGTTAAGGTTAGATGGGAGAAGCCTCCTCATCCTTTCATTAAAATTAACACTGATGGAAGTTTCACAAATAAGAAAGCTGGTATTGGAGGTATTTTCAGAGATCACACAGGCAAAGTTTTGCTTTATTTCAAGGACCCCTACATTGCTGAAGATGCTATGGAAACAGAAGCTGTTTCTCTTTACTGGGCCTTAAAATTTGCTAAGGAAGTCAAGTGGAATTGTATTATTGCTGAAGTGGACTCTTCACACCTTGTGGAGCTAGTCACTGCCACCCCCCAGGCACATAAATCAGTGGATTTACAGAATAAAGAGTGGATTTATAGAATAAAGAAGCTTATCATTGAGATCAAGTTGAAAATCACTTTTAACTACAGGGAAGCCAACAGGCCTGCCAACTTTTTGGCTTTGGAGGGTTCTTACTTGAGCCATGCAGTGGTCTCCACTACCCATCCTATCCCTCTACAACTGTTAACACAAGGGGACAACCTTCGAATTCCTTATCTTAGAATCCATAACTGAATCTTGGGCTCTTCCTTTTGAGCCTCCAGCTCCTTTCTTATCAGCTGTCATCCATCTAATGTTTCCTTTCTGGCTGTTTGGGTCTTGATGTTTATTTACACACACACACACACACACACACACACACACACACACATATATATATATATATATATATAGTTTTAGA